CAGGGACAGAGGCTGCTTCTGGAGAGAAGGAGAATAAAGACTCCAAAAGGCTTAAATTAGAGTGGCTTTGAAATGAAATGCATTTTAAAAATGTGCTTTAGTGCTTCTGTAAAATGATGCTATTGTTGTGTTTGTCATACTTCTGTTAAAAATGAGGCCTTTTATACAGCAATAGAGACACTGAATGGGAAAGAGAATTGGGAGATGTTGGAATGTTTGATGATACTCTTTTCCTTCCTGGGCATTGGGAAATTGCGCCGTTGTCATTCACATTAGCAGAATGTAGAACATTAGCTTAGCAATGCCAGGATGCCCGCAAGGGAGGAACCAAGGCTACTTTGCCCATGATGTTAACCTCTTGAGTGCCACATTGCTGGAGGTTTTAATGTGTATGGAGGGGTTTAAGGGAGGAATTATAGGAAACCATTTAGTGAAAATATGATTGCACAAAACATGATGGGCAAACCCAAAGGACAAGAATACTGTACCATAAAGTCTAGGGACAGCCTCTGTTTCCGAACAGCTCTGATTCTCAGAGGGCCACTCTTTTCCAGTGTGAATATTAATACTCCAGAGACTGCACACGCTCCCTACCATGCCCACTCCTCTCATCCTCCTCTACATTCACTATTGGAAGAAACCTTTGGAAGACAGAAGAATTGAAAAGATCTGCCTGTTCACAAATTTTATTGTTTTTAAATTTTAAGACCCATTCTTTCAGAAACATATTTTAAAAATTAAGACTTCTTTCAGAAACGTATTATAAAAATTAGGTTTTATGCTTTATGTGTTCTGGAGCGCTAAGTCTTATAATGAATTTAGTATTTATGAGCTTATTCTTAAAGACATATGATTTACTTGTATTTATTTATTTTTTTAATTTGGGCATCTTCAAGGAATCAGGAGCTTTGCTTGGAGTACAGAGTTAACAAAATACAGTCTCTGTCCTCCAGGAACTTACACTATGGAGTTTTGGTTAGCTCATTTGTTTGCAAAGCACTTTGTATAATTCCTCCATCCCTTTCTCCAAATTACCAGGAAAAAACTATGTAGAACACTCCACCCTCCAACCCAAGGAGCATAAATAGAAGTATTTAAAAATAAAATTTTGTTTAGGAACTGAGAGCAGAATGTTCTTTCTGTAAAAAAAGAGCTCATAATTAAATAAAGTCTTGTCCTGTTTGTATTAGGCAAAAAGTCATATTTAGAGAACATTCTACCTTTTAAACTTGTTTATTCTTTCTGCTTTCTTAATATGCAACTGTTCAGTTCATTGATACATTCATTTGTTCGTTAAATTTTCTTGAATTTTTCTTACCCAAATCATTGAACCTCATTGTCCAATAATGGAGAAGGATACAGTATAAACAGGAAATTGTACACTTCCCTAGTTTTGATCAGAGAGGTGCTTGAAGAAAGTGTTTTAGGCACAAAGAAGAACAAAAACTAACACAGCTGGTGAGGAAGCGAGAGAGTCTGTTTTGGAGATCATGAGTTTTCAAAGTAAAGAAGCAAGGAAAAGAGCACGCCAAACAGAAGGAACAGTATGTGCGAAGACACAGAGGCCTGAGCAAGCCCGCAAGGTGGAGGAAAGGGGGGTATTTGGAGGTTTCTTGAGAGATAGGCTACAATCAGAGACATGAGGTTGGGAGGAAGGCAGGGAACGGAAAGAGTAGAGACTTATAAGCCAGGTGAATAAATCAGATGGTTCTTTCGGCAGAAGGAGTAATGCATTGTTTTTGAGCATGGCGTGATCACTTGCAACAGTAGGAAGGATCGCTTTATAAAAAGCAAAATATTAAAAGAAAAAATAGAGATTGCTTTGAAGTTGTATGGGAAGTAGTGGGCAACCAGCTCTGATTACATGAAGGTAATCTACAGAAGAGATAAGAGAAGCCTCAACAGGGCGGTCATTGTGAGACTAGAGAAGACGAAGGTTCCCATTGCGTTAAATAGTATTTGGTGACCCATGTTGTAGGAAAAGATGGCCAGGAGCAGACCTGTGTTACTTTTAGTTAAGTGATTACAAGCCTGCTTTGCTCTTTATACACTGATATTTGTGCCATGGATCAAATATTGAATTAAGAAAACTCCAAACTATGGTGCAGTAAAATAAAAGCAGACATCAAGCGGTGGTAACAGGAGGCCTACAGTAAAGACCATCTGAGAGCGCTTTATAACTGTGGAACGCTGCGGTGTGGTTGCAAGGCAGCAAAGACGGCTTTGGACCCACGATCTCTTCCCAACATAGGGTTTACATGACGGTCTCATAAACAGGGCTTATGCAAGAACTCTGGGAAGGAATGCAACCTGTGCTCACGAGACTCGGGAGGGTCTTTGCAGATGGGGGCTTGCGAGGCCAGAAAGTCTTGCAGGGCAGAGAAAACCGGAAAACCACAGACTTTGCCTACGTTCTCAGAATATGGAGTGATTCTGATTGCTCTGTGTACGCAATGCTTGGGAGATAAAAACCACTTGATGCATCGTGTGTGGTCAGACCTTATGGAACCTTATCAGCCATGCCTCTTTGCAAATGCACCTGGATAAACAATGGGTGGAAAAAACTCAGTATCCTTAGTTAGCATTTCTTAGAAGAACCGCATTTGCTATTGAATGCTGCAAGACACATGCTCTCCTTGCCTGGCCATCTTTCTTCTTACCTCCTCTCCCCGCAGCCCACAAAATTAATAAGATAATGCGCCTAATAAAAGCGTGAGAAGCCCAGAGCTCAGTGCCAAGGCGGTTTACCCCTGAGAGAGTGTGTTGGCCCTCTGGACCCGTGTTGTTGAATTCTACTCTTGATCTTGTCTTATTTCTTTTCTCACTCCCTCATCACCACCAGGGCTCGGGGCACCCGTGTACAGGGTTGGGCTAGATCCCAACACACGTGATAGAATGTCATGGCTGGGGAGAAAGGAGACAAGAATGACTTTAGATTGATCAGATTGCTCTCTTGGCAAATGGTAGCACAAAACAGAAAAAAACCGTTAAGAAGAGCATGTGCTGGGGACCAGGTCATGAGTTTGGTTTGGGACATGCTAAGTCCTAGGTGTCTGTGAGTAGTCAACAGCTTCCAGGTCCAGGGAATCCTGCCACAAGACCCCAGCACAGAGGGCCAGGTAATTGACAGCTCCTCTGCTTTCTTCATGCTTCTCTGTTCCTTCAGATGTCCCGGTCAATAAGAGGGGGTTGAGAAGGAGAACTGACAGGTGAGGAAAGAGAGACAGCTGACAATGGCCTCCTTTTGCTTTTAAATTGCTGCAAGTCACAGCCAAGAGAGGCGAGAAACTGCAACTCTAAACTGAGTTTGAAGCACTGAATATGAGATGATACGGGATGCTCTAATCATAGATATGATTGAGTGTTTCTATGTAAGTGACTTTGTGACATTTTATCTGAAAGAAACAAGAGAATATGGATGGTCTCCTTCATTGGTTCAACTTAATGATATTTTAACTACAACGGTGTGGAAGCGATAAACATTCAGTAAAAGCTGTACTTTGAGTATCCATATAACCATTCTGTTTTTCACACTGAGTATTCAATAAATTACAAGAGATAGTCAACACTTAATGATAAAATAGGCTTTGTGTTAGATGGTTGTACAGTACTATAGGCTAATGTAAATGCTTGGGCATGTTTAAGCCATGCTGTGATGTTTGGCAGGTTAGGCATACTAAATGAATTTTCAAATGACAATATCCTCAACTTATGATGGGTCCACTAGAATGTAACCCCCTTGTAAGTCAAGGAGCATCTGTAGTTGGGATAGTCGTCCAGTGGCAGGAGAAGAACTAGTGCCACAGAGGAAATTTGGCAAGACAGTAGGTGACCAACGTAAAGCTGCCTTATAATTACCATCTTTGAGACCAGAGTCTGCATAGGGGGAAAGAGAAGGGCTCAGACTGAAGCTTTCTTTCACCAATATTTGAAGAGGCAGCAGCATCAGAAAAGGCATCTTTAAAGAAAAGAAAATGCTGGGAAATAACATTCTCAACCTAAAAACAATGTTTTTTTTTTTTTTTTTTTTATCACCAACTATCTTTTCAGATAAGTCAGCTAAGCTCAGAGAGGAAATTAGTCTCCCAAGGTCACAGAGCTAGTAAGTGGCAAAATTAGGATCTGAAACCTGCTGTGCCTCATATCAAAACCACTATGCGAACTATTCCCTACATCTTTTTAAAAAATCACCGATTTGGAATTATAAGGAAAACATGAATAAAGGACCCAGTGATATAAGAACATTTCAAAGCCAGGGCTGATAAGAATCTGGTGCTTGCTCCAAGTACGGTAAATAATATTGGCATGTGATTCAAGATACTGCAAGTCTCCTGGGTCAAACCCCAATACCAAACCTGCGCTGCTTTGTCTGTTTGCCACGCCGTGGGCTGCCGTTCAAGTCAAGGCGTGAGACCAGCTGGAGGTCCAGAGGAACCCGAGTGACTGGCTTGCTTCTGCAGCAGCCCTACGTGTGGGAAAGGCCCAAGGAGACTGTTGTTTCTACCCAACCTTCACCCACTTCTCTTCCATAGGTTTTTATTGTTTTGTTTTTTTACTTGTGATTGGTTGTAAGGAAAAACCTTTAGAAGAAGAATTTTATATTTGGGTTTCAATTATGTATCAACATGAGGTCCTTTAAACAATGCATTCACTAAGAAAATGAAATCTTGGCCTCTATGGGTCACTTTACATATTAAAAACCATGCTCATAAGGGAAGCCCTAAGGGGATTCAAGAAGTGTAAGATTCACTTGTTATTTTACTTTTATTAATAATGATTTATAATGAGAATAAAGACATACCCTTCCTTAAAAATAAGTGCTGGTGATGCTGGCTATCATTTGAGAAGCCGAAGAAGGCTTTAGCGAACTTCGGTGGTGGGAGCTGCCATGCAGAAAGGCTGATCTGCTATTAGCAGTGACTTTTTGCTTCTTAAAAATTTCCTTCGTGCTTGATTCAGTCTTCATTTAAGTTTTAATTTTGGATTCTTTTTTCTGATAGAAACATCTCCTAAAGCAGCAAAAATAACAAGTTGTTTCTATTGAAAGAAAGCTGATTACTGAGGTGAGAGAGCCCAGCCACTGCTCCAAACAGTACAGCATTGATATTGTTAAACTGGAAATGAATCTGAAGCCTTCTGCTTTTCCATTCTCCAGCACTGCATGTCCATTCTTTCTTCTCTTCCAAACTTGCAAATGTCATCATATTTTAAAAAGTGCCTTATTGATGGTACAATTTTCAAGTAAATTGAAATTTCCCTCTTTTTAAGTCCAAGCTCCCTCTTCCTTCTCTCTCTCTCTCATAACAGACACACACACAAACACACACACACACATGCACACACGCACATACACACAGCACACACTAGCTTAACAGTACAGAGAGGCTGCTTTGCATGGCATTTGCCCTGCATATAGACCTGAGTGCCAAAGGAAGACTCTGTCCTGACCCCAGCAATACTTGTTATTTGATTTCTGAAATTAATTTTTTATTTCTCATTTCAGGTTTTGTTGACCCTGTAGAACTCCTGAAAGAGCAATTGGAGAGCCGATTTCAGTTTGTAGACAAGTCTATGAAGAATAAGATATAACAGCCTAGTCCGATAGGCCAAATTTTGGATTTATATTTTAGAGGTGAGAATGCAATTTCCATTAAGGTTGTACTTACAATAAAATACCTTTTAAATCTGTTTTTCATCTTTAGTTTGCAAATCTATAATATAATCTGTGATTCAGAATATTTCTTATATTGGGAAAAAAGCTGAGTTGTAAAAACTCATATAATGACCATGGCTAAAAAGAAGGTTTTTATGTTATGCCTTCACTGACCTCGGTGTGACAGAAGAGTCCAGAACTAAAGAAACACGTTAGTAATCGAAAAATACTGCTTTAGAGAAAACAAAATGAAAGAGAGCTCTTATATCACTAACAGAATTTCTACTAAACTCTGGCTGTGACAGACTGGTTTGGTTTTGCATTAACTTTAGGATTTTGGTGTAAATTAGCTTGTGGAAGCTTGAGAGAGAGAGAGAGAGAGAGAAGTGCTTCTTCCCTTAGTCTGTGACCTCCCATCCTTAAGTCTATCTGGCTCATGGACTAAGAGGATTTGGATAGAGTCCTATTTTCATCCATCTCCATCCTTATGCCCACAAACATATCTTCATTAATTCTATCACTCTGTAATCTTGAGCAAGTTACTTAACAGTTCCAGGTCTCAATTTTCTGGTTTTCTCAGGAGCTCAGTGAATAATTTCAAAGGCTGGACAGGTAATAAAATAAATGAGTGATGTGGGTAGAGCTAGACTTTAAAGTTCTATAGCAAACCTTATAGTGCATGTCCTGGCAAGCCTATTTAAATGGTTTCATTTATTCATTTTAAAATTTAGATGCCAAATCTTAATGTGTCCCTAAGCAAGATTAGGCCACACTTAGACTAGATGCTCTCTAAATTATCTTCAAGATAAAATTCCATGAATTATCTGTAAGCCATGATACAGACTGTATTTTCTCCTACTCATGTTATTCTCAGTGGGGACCAGGAGACCTGTCCCAACTGGCTTCATGTAACATATTTATTTAAGGTTTTCTGGAATTGTAGTCAATGAGATTGAAAGTTTTTCTTCCACAGAACCCTCCTTGAGCTAGTAAAGTCTGTACTCGAATCCATGCTTTTTTGTCTGAGGCAGATCAGATTTGGGAATGTGATAAATCAAAGTGCTCACTGACATATTAAACTCCAATGAAGTCTTGGCGTTTCAAAATGTGCTATTACAATTAACTACTGGCGAGCTCCCTCCTGGAATACTGTCTTTCCTCTTTCTCCAGGAGTGCTGACCACATTTTACTGTAGTCAGATTTTTGGCTTTCTAGAAATAACGTCCCTGTGAATAGAAAAGGAAAGCTCATCTGAAGGTCATTGGCGTATTCTAAACTATTAGCCATTATTGAAAACGAAAGGACTAGATTATTGATATCTGAATTGATTGGCAGTAAATGATGTCAAGATGCAAGGGCATGATAAGCTCAAGATACAGGAGCATCATAAACTCAAGGGAATGTTTAGCATCTGCATATGAAAATTGTATCCAGAATCTAATGATGACACGAAATGTCAGCTCAGCGTTTCTTTTAAGAGTGGTGAGACTATTTCAGAAGATTGACTGCGATGATTATGACGGCGATGAAGATGACTATTTTGGGTCATCTTTAGGGATTTGCTGTAGGTAGACCTTTGCTGTTTGGGTATTTTTATGTCATATATAAATCTAAAATCTAGGGCAAGTAAGTTTCAAATGAATGCTGTGCGTGAGCGTGTGTGTGTGTGTGCGCGCGCGTGCGTGTGTGTGTGCACGTGTGCGTGTGTGCTGATCAGGAAAGAAATTCTCCTGCTAGCATCTTGACTGTCACCTCCTGAGGATGGGATTGTGCTTCTCAGTCTATGTTTCCTTGGATTTAGTGACGATTTAGTGATGGGCCTGCTGTTTCTGCTGGGTTACCTCAGGAGGGAAATGCTTCAGAAAAGGAGATCCAAGTCTAAGGCCCTAGCTCTTGTTGCTCATTCATGGACTTGTTGGCCCTCAGCTCCATGCACCATTTTTCTGGTGCAGGTAACCCTGGGAGTTCCCAGGAGGACTGAGTGCCTGTGACTGTCCTGCTTTCTACTGTGAAGCTTCCTCTCCTCTCTGCTCCTTTCTGGCATACCGGCCCCCTTATCCTGTGGCTCACAAGGCCACTGACCCTCTGGTCATAGCAGTTAGTCCTGGACTCTGTGACTCTGCTGACCTTAGCAAGCTCTACCACTTTCTATTTCAATTATGGGTTGCTGAAGGGAGAAAAGACTTCTTTTGCTTTTACTGTTTATAATTTCTTAAGCTACGGCACAGAGAGGCTTTGCTCTCTGATTTCTACCCACTGGCCCTAAGAGAGTATTATTTCAGTTCATTTGGAACTTGGCACAATTTCCCCTCAACTAAATTTAGGAGAGAAAGAGATTTTGCATAGCACTGCACACAAATCATTCTTCCCAACCAATGTTCCTTTTAGGGTTTTTGATTGAGTAGAAAACTCTTTCTTCCAGCAGGTTGATTCATGATGCTATAAGGACTTCCTTCCTCTTTCCTTTCTTTTCTTTCTTTCTTCCTCGAACTCTTCTACCGCCCTTCTTTCCTCCCTTCTCTCATCCTTCGTGTCGATTACTGATAGATGTGTGGAGGAAAGATCAGGAGGAAACTGCTGACAAAGGATTCCTGGGTGGAGGGGAAGAAGGGCCAGTGAAGATAAGGATGGTACAGAGAAGTGCTGGCAGGCATTTCCTTCCCAAGTTGCCTCTGTGAAACCTTCTCACTGAATTCCCTTAGAGGGAGTTGAAAAGCACTTGACTACATCCCCTTGCTACCTGGGAGACTGGGAGGTCTGAAGTTAGTTTTCTTGTTCCCACAAATCTGATCCTTCTGCAATACACTGCGGGGGACAGGCATCAGTGGCGGGGTGGCGGGGGGGGGCGGTTAAGGTAAAAACTATTTATTTATTTATTTTTCTCCCATAGATAACCCAGAGTGAGGCCTGTTTTATAAGATGAGAAACTAAGGACAAAAGGTAAGCCCTGATTCTTAATTTATCTGTCTGTGTCTGTCAGTTTTAAGTTAACCCTTATTAGTGAGTCCCCATTATATTGCTTTCTAATTAAAACATATATATGTCTAAAGAGTTTTCAGAATAATAAAGCATTCGTAATACTTTAATGAAGGGCATTCTTTTCATCTTTATTTACTCAGGAGCATAATCAGGACCAACTTAGAAAGGTTAGATGTGGTCAAAAGAAATTTATGAAGAGTGGCTATTAAGGGGTAGAACATATGTACGCAGACTGCGGTTAAATAACGGTAAGTAGGATGTGTTTATTAAAATGATGCAGGGATTTTATCCCTCCATTCTTGATGTCTCTTAGTACCTGACATTATACGGCTGTGGTTTCCATGGAAACAGCACACACTCTTCCTTTCAGCTGACCTGAAGTTCAAGCCCTGCTGTTGCAATAGAAATTCTCAGAAACACCTCCACTTTTATTAAAAACAAAAATACCGAATCTATGCAAAAAGCAAAAGCAGAAAAAGAGGACAAAAAATCCACTGATGATATTGCAGGGGAGAAGAGAGAATGTGCAATATTTTCATTAAGATGGAGTCAAGCAACAATTTACTATGCAGGAGGTTGAAAATCTGTCATTTCCTTCCCCTAAGTTACCTTAGAATTGATCCTCCTGAGCCTGCCTTAACATCTGTACCTTTCATTTCTAATTCAATATGTTCTACTATTTTTAGTTTTCTGGGAGTATCTCTTTTACTGATTTCAGAACTTGTTTCTCTGTGACTCACCAAAAATGTTGATCCAGTCTATACATTGCATCTTTAATAAAGGGAGGTTAACTTTAGGGTGGGATTGCTGGAATAAGATGTTTCCCATGAACAAGGAGTCACGAAGTGAGCCTCTGGTCCACAGTCTCCTTTTGTTTGCTTTATTAGCAAAGATGCTTTGGTTTCAAGTGACAAGACTTCTTGTGGTCTGTACAAAAAGGTGGATTCATTGCCTTATGCAACCAAGGGTCCAGAGAAGACGCATAGTTTGATCCGGATCTGGGTCTGTGCCTCTAGCATTTTCCAAACTTTGGCCTCTTAGAACTGACATAGTCTTCAGGCCAGCTTCTGCACTGTTGCAAAATGCCTGAAACAGTTACCCAGACTATTTCAGCCTGCCACACAAAAGCAAGACAGTGAGGATGATCGTTTTAAGAAATTCCTACCAAATAGCATCTTCAGCCCCATCGTTCTGATTATGCCAAGGGCACATCATGAATCCATAACTGAGCAGGACATGAGGTAAAGCTGATTGGCTTTGGGCCTGAGTCATAGGCTCAGTTTCTTTAGTCTCCTCCAAAGCATGTGGACTGCATGGTGGAAAGATGGACATCAATGTAAAACTTGGAGATATTACCAAGAGAAGAACGGATAGATGCTGCGAAAACAAACACTGTCCACTGCAAAGGGCTATCTCATGCTGGAAACAAGAGTCTCAGGCAAATTTAAACAACAATCTCACCTACTTTCCTATTCACAATTTAACCTTCTCAATTTAACACTGTTTAATATTGCAGCCTGCCCTCCTAACCTTATTATCTTGCTTTACTTTTTCTCTCTTCCACAGCCCTTAATACTTTTTACCATACTGCAAAATTTAATGTTTGCTGTGTTTATTGTTATGTTCATTGTGTGTTATATTCACTGACATATCCCAAGGACTTAGTGAGTAGCTGGGATATAGCAGGTGCTCAATAAGTACTTGTCTAACAAATGAATGGATTATCTAACAAATAAATAAATAGTTGATTTGACCAGATCCTTTGTGGTCAAATTGCTAAGGCAATTTGATCTAATTTTTAACAATTGAATATTGTGCTTAAATCTCTATTTCTAAAGTACCATTCCATGGGGATTTTTTGTATCTGTAGCTTTTTGTGCTCATGTAGGCAGGTAACAGTAACACCAACCTGAGTTAGACATTTTGAGGGAGGTTTGTTTCTTGGCTCCTGAAATCCCTTCACTTGGTTGGGAGTGAGAATAGAAGGATATATGGAAGGCACAATTCTATGTCAGGGCCACAGAACTCTCCTTCATCCAGCCAAGATCAAGATCATTCTGGGCTTGGAGGAGTTAACTGTGTCTTCAAGGAGTTATCTGCTGGCCACTTAGCATGCCAGTGGGTATCTGGAAGCACCTGCCTTCAAGCTTCTCAGGACAATTTGCAGTTTAATGTCAGCTTGAAAGCAAGATGTTTTCCTCCGTTTAGGGCAAAACCTACCTCTTTTCTCTGTAGTGGCTATTCAGCCCGAGTAGCATGGCTCATGAACCTTCTAAGCAATTTCTTCACAAAGCAAACTTTGATAGCACCAGAGTTAAAGGCCAAGTCAGGGAAAGGCCCTGGCAGGTAAATTTTCTGCTCTGGGTGGCCTCAGGGGAGGGATAAAAAATCATATCTGTTCTCTTGTGAGAAAGGCTAAAATTCACAGTGTTGTTTAGCTGGTTGTTGACTTTTACTCAGGATGTTTTGGTTGCTAAGGGCACATGGTAACTTTTATGTGGGCTCTATCTATGAACCTATCATCATATTCCATGAGTCATACAAGGGGCTCTAATTTAGTACATAATTCAATTTTTCCACCACCAAGATATCAGAGTAGAGGGCTCGAGACTCCATCCTCTGGAGAGTATGTCCCTTAGCTTTGGACTGAACTCCATCTATTTATTCCAAACAAATTCCTGTTCTGTGGGATGTCTTGCTTTGATTCTGAAATCCAAGTGACTTGCAGAGATGATATGCACTAATAAATAATTCTATGGTGTTATATTTTGCACTTCCAGCCAGAAATCAGCCCTACTATGACAATTATGTAAGAGGTTTTATTGAAACAGTTTTCCCTGCCATAATCCTTGTCTCTAAGGTTAGATACAGTTACCTATATAATTACCTGGATGGTTCACCCTGCTCAGGGAGCTACATGTAATAATCAGAGGCAGGGATGATATTAAAAATATTTAATACCCTGTGCAGTGTGAGCACCAGACAATCTCAATGGAGGGCAGCCAGTGAGCTGAATACATCAGCCCTACCCAAAGATATCAGCCACTAGTTCCCCTTCACCATCTATGAATTAAATAATTACTTTTCAAGAGTCCTTGCATGTCATCTCACTATCTATTTCTCTAGGTGAGAAAACCATTTCTAAGGGAGATGAATGACTTGCTTAAGGTCACACAGAATTTAAATGCAACCTAGATAAATTCTGGAACTCCAGGTAATCAAATCTTTATGAATTTTGTGCCGGGAAACACAATCTAGAAGCTAGACATAATTATGGATATTTTGAATCCAGTTTTAGTCTTTCAAGGAAATGACCACGGCTAAAGTCATCTCGTTCCATTGCTTCCTTTCTTAGCATATTTTACGTAGACTACAGGTGCTACTCTGCAAGCCTCTCTATTTTCCTCCCATCACTTTCTCAAAACCTGCTCCAGAAACCCCACAAATGTGAGTTGAACAATCCTCCTTCCCCTGTTGAAGGAGCACTGTGAGATTTTGTCCAGTGGTGGGCCTGGCTAGGCTGTGGGAAGAGCCTGAAGGACCAGGAAGCCATATGGCCCATCCCACCAACCCAGACTCCTGGTTTTCCACAAAGGGAAGCACCCAGAGGCCACTGAGAGACACAGTTCTCCTATCAGTCTGACAGCTTTCCTAGTAAAAAATCATTTTTGGAAATTTCAGTTGAATATAATTCTGAACCTCACTGTGCATATAACCTCTAGCAGCCGGAGCCAAGACCTCAGCTGGGGTCTCCAGGGTCCATGCACAAGGATGTTATGTCTCATTTATGCCCAGCACACAGTAAATATTCCTTAAATACAAGAATAATCCTGGGGATACAGTCAGGAAAATAATCTCAAAAGAAAAACATGTCCGAAGGGAAAAGGAATGGAAAGTGGAAAAGTATCTGCTCTCCCTTCCTTTTCCTCTCTTTTTCCCTTCCACTTTTTATACAGAATAATTTGGATTGACCATCTACGCCCGTTATAGGAATTCACTGACTGACAGTTCCATTCTTCTGTTTGCTTTGTGCAGGCCCTTCGGAATTGACTTTTACGGTCAGTCTCCGCTTTCTCTTCTTGTCACTTTCCTCCTGCTTTTTTCACTGTATGCATGAGAGTAATTTTCTGTTATATTGTGATTTTGGAAGGTCTCTGGCAGGGTGGCAGTAAAATGACACAGCTAAGTGATACAGATTTTAATGACTTAATGCTATCATAATTTCTCATAGAAATATAAGTGGAGACAGGGGTGATGTTTTAAAAGATATAAAAATGAAAAATGGATAATAGAAAAGATAGTCATGAGAAATTACTGTGGCAGAGAAGGAAGCAAGACAGGGAAGGATAAACTTGGTAAAGGTGGGCCCATAAAATAGATGCTATTAGTAAAAAGGAAAAAGTCACAGGAGAGAAAAATAACATTTTGAAAGTATGTCAGAAAGAAAAGAAAGTGATGACACAGGGAAAAGGTGGACTGGCTTCTTAATAGGGGAAAAGAGCAAATATGAAATTACAGAAAAAGGAAGGAAGGCTTGGCCTGTGTTATGAGCCAGGCTTGGTGACAAAGGGGAATAGCAAAAAGAATACTTACGGCAATAATAGTCAATGAGGAAAGGCGGCGCGGAGAAGCAGTGCGTTTCAGAATATCTAGGGTAGGAAAATCAGTGCAGAACACAAAAGGAGAGAACAGAGGCAGTGCAGGCAGCTGGCAATTATTTTTTAAAACTTATGGAAGACTATTAGGTTCCTAGGAATTTGAAAAGGGAAAGGCAGCTCAAAATTTTTATTTTTAAAAGTTTGATGAAATGTGTTAAAGTAGGTCAGAGAGAATTCATGGATTTGGTGGGCTTTCTTGGGACCCGGGTAAACTTTGGTGAAGCTAATAAAATGGCTAGGTGGCCACTGCAGGGCCAGCTTGCCCACTGGATCAAATGTGGGCTTCTGTGGGCCCCACGTCAG